GCAGTGCAAGTCTGGCGAACATGCCGAACGACCCGGCGACCAAGGTCGCTGCCGTGCAACTGTTTGAGTCCAGTCCTTCGGCGTCGACCGTTGTCCTAAATACGTCCTACCTCCGAGGCCGGCCCCGTTTCAATGACCTGATCGACAACGATTCGAGCCCGGCCACGACCATCGTCCATGGAGATTCTGGTCAACGTGTGGGTTTGCTGACGTCATCGGTCAGTCAGTCCTCGGATTTATTGGACGAAGACAGCATCAACGAATTCGAAGATTCAGTCGGAGGTATGTAATTGCTGAATGATTTAGATGAATTGCGAACGTAAAGTCTTGACTTCATTCTAAGCATAAAGGAACGCTCGTTTTAAGCATCAACATGTTTTTCAGTTTTTAGTTCGCATTTCAAATTATGCAATCAAACTTAGCTGTTATGCTACTCACGAACAACAGCAAAATGTTTGCCTCTCGTCTGTTTCGTGTGTGCACTCATTCGTTACAAAACCACTGTACATAAGTCATTTGCCTCACGGCTGTCAATTCGCTTCCTTTCCGTGGTGAGACCACGAGAATGTTCCTGTGTCAATCAACATGTCGTTGACCACGTTTTCCTCTCATGCAATTCGTGCAGGTACCCATCAGTGAAAAACGTTTCGTCTCTTTCCGTTCGAAGGTCCGCCGAGGATGACCTTTTCTAGTAGTCGATTGCTTTCAGACACTAACTATTTAGACGCTGTTCTCGTCGACGGTCGGCGAGGAGTGGGAAAGGGACGTTGGGCGTTAATGGCGAGGGGCAACAGCATCGTCGTCGGCAGATGGAGAATGCGGAAAAGCGATTTCCAAAAAGAATCGCTCGCTCGCTCGCTATTTGCGACTTAACGTGGTGCCGTCTGTGCGACAGAATTGTTCCTCAAAGCTGGACAGTAAGATCGATTCGGTGAGTAACAGTCGACCGACCACCGATCGATCGAGGAAAATGAAATATTCACAAACATTTAAACCGTTTATGTCGGCGGATGGGGCGCCGACCGGCTCTCTAATGACACGCCGTACAACAGAACATCTTTAGTGCTCGAAAACACCACGATTTCGTTTCAAATCTTTCTTTGCCCTACGCGTTCATTTACCAATAGCTGAAAATGAAGGACACCGTCTTCCCGTCGTTCATTCATAACCTGGTCAAACGTCTCACTCATATATCCATGCTAAGCGTAACGACGCTTTCAGTTCTCCTACGAATGCAACCGTAAATCGTTGGGAAGAAAGAACCCATCGGAAAACTTCTAATTCTAATTCTTCCAATTGAACGTCAGCCACGCACTGCAACGAGGCACACACGCTTCTAGAAAATAGCTTCTGTCCTCGCTGTTCTGACCTGGCTCATATAGATACCTACTACTGTAATTCTTCAAATCTTCTTCAATGCAAATTCATCATCCGCTTTGAAACTTTTTCAAATTTCTACTCACTTAAGTTCCCGAGCCTTTTCGTTGAGGCTGAAGCTGTTAAACAGGTAGCGGAAAATTCTGCATTTCAGTGAAGTGTAAGTTTCTAATGCGATGCGCAATGTTTTTAAACGTGATTTTATTCGTCGTCCGACTTGCCTTGTTTATGGGTGCACTCATCCAGTACTTTCTAGTCCCCGTTTTCTGTTTCCACCACAATCCAAGCAGCTGGATCTCCAGATGGTTCTCAGCGTGTTCTTAACAGACAAATTCGACGTTTTTCGTCCCGCGGCTCTTCATCATCTTCATCTTCCATCGCCGCTTCTCCTTTCGGGTCGCGGAGGCAGACGCGTCAGATAGTGCTTCCAA